AATACTTTTTTGGCACACAGATAAAACAACCTAGATTACAGGTCAAACTGGATATAGTTCCCTCTTGTCTTTTTATTGAATGAATTGTAAAAATGAATTGTAATAATTTTATAAATGAAAGCTACATGATCATTTACGGGTGTAATTCATATTCGACTTCAAAGAACTTAATTTTCAAATAGTTAAGGTGGCGGTTCGGGTTTTTAGTGATACCTTTAGTTGTTTAAATATACATGCGAATGTCTTGCTGCAGAATTAGCCGTGCTTTCATTTTAGTGTAGTGTTCTTATTGTGTGGTCTTTCTACCTATTTTCTTTCAAATGTTTCTAAAATTGAGGTAATGCATATATTAAATTTATCAGCATACACAACAGTAGTGAACAATATACCAATTTTATTCAAAATAATTTTATTATGGTGATGGTTGTGCTCATTTATAAGTAAACATTGTCGAGCGTTGTATCGTAATGTCGCATTGTCACTTCAAATTGTCGAGTGTCGTGGTATGCATAGCCCCGACAATGTGAAGTCACAATGTGACAATGCAAAGTGACAATGCTACAACGGGAAGTGACATCGCGACAATGCGAAGCGGTGCTCGGCAATGCGAAGCGACACTCGACAACGCGAAGCGAAATTTTTAAATGTCGCCCTTTTTACCTCGACTTTTTTTATGCGACAGTGCGATATATCGTTTAATATTGTCGAGCGTCGCTGTGCATTATCGCGATGTCACTTGGCATTGTCGTGTGTCGACCCTTAGACGCGACGGACGACATTATAAATGGCACGATAAGGACGATGTACTTTCAGGACTTACTTACTTTAAACAATTAAACAATAATCACATAATTATATTCTTTTGATTGTTATTTCATTTCCAGTTTCAAGATGTTTTCTAAGAAATAGAAAAGAATGGAAACAGGAGGCTATCTGATTTCTATGAGGGAGCGTAGCCTGTAGCCTCCTAGTATAGACCACATTCTCGAGTGTTTTGATGTTCTCTCTCTCTTTTGTATCATAGGCAAAAATGTTCCTTGTCGTTACAATATGAAATCGAAGCTTGTCCGAACATTCCGATTAATACAATGTAATATCGTACAATAATTATTTATTATATATTTACTATTTCGTGATTCGCGGATTAAAGAAATGATGTCATTGTTATTAAAGGTCCAACGCAGTATTAATGTTATGTTTTTATATATGTAGTTATGTCTTGGATATAAGACGATTCTTGAAAGTGTTTAAAAGAATGATAATTATCTCATTATTTATTTATTGCATAGGTCACATTGTTGAGAATGATTGCTGGCGGCATCCATTTTTGTATAATCAAATGAAAAGCCTAAAATCATAAGAATCACAACTTTTGTTATGCACATGCTCCGCTTCAAATTACGACTTTACTTGAACGAAAAAATAATATCGAGGTGAACAAATCTGTAAAAGGACAATCAGAAAAGATCGTTTACGGTGCATTTAACACATGTACAGTGGGCCATTCCGTTTCTAATCCATTAAACGATATACAAATTTATTATTGTTTCCTCATTAGCGATTTACTGTTTATGTTACGAAAAATAGTAACAGTTAACACTATATAACCAAACATTGTTATGAGAACCGTGTACCGAAATTTTCCGCCTTTAACCTCGGAACATTTCGCCGATTATTCCTAAATATAGCTTATCCAGAAACTGTCGGAAATATGCCGATATGTTTCTCTTGTTAGCAGATGAATTTTGACCAGTCAGAAATTCTTACTTTCCCGCAAGCGCTCCATGAGACGCCAGTCGAAAACACGATAAAAACAACAATGTGACCAATTGTCGTACTTTCGCTCCGCGGGACAGAAAGAGAAAACACGATAATACGACAATCACGCTTCGTTATTTTATCGTGTTTTCACCTTGCGCCCCTCGGAGCGAAATTAAGACAAAGTGGCGACATTACACTGTATTGGCAAACACCATCATTACTGTGTTCAAGGACATGTAAACAAAAACACAACATCATATAACAAGGTAAGGTGGCATGCCGTGTCTTAAGATCTACAGGAAAGAAAAGAAACAACTTCATTCATTGTTCAAATCTGTACTTTTACACCGAAAACGTCTATGTTCTATTTTATAGCCCCTGTTTTCTAGCCCGAAAAAAAAACGAGACAAACTAATAAATAAATAAGTCGATTAGTTTTTATTTGAGATATTATCTTTCAACTTAAATCACTCGCGGTTAGAATCTGAAATATCTAAAATAATTTGAAAACGCCAAAGTCAGGCTACCCAACCCTACTCTAACAAAAAAGAATAAGTAATTTGAAATCTGTTTGATACAATATTAAATCTAGATATGTATTTTGTGAAAAAGAGAATATACGAGTCAGGAATGCTGCGAGTAGGCTACCCAAACTTACTCTAGCAAGAAGAATCAGAAATTTGAAATCTGTTTTATACAATATCATATCTAGAAATGTATTTTATGAAATAGAGAATAAACGAGTCAGGAATGCTGCGAGTAGGCTACCCAAACCTACTCTTACAAAAAGAATCAGAAATTTGAAATCTGTTTGAATCAAAATCATATCTAGATATGTATTTTGTGAAATAGGGAATACATGTATGAGTCCTATTTTATTTTCAGAAATTTAACAATTGAACGACATGAACGTAAACTGCGTGACGGCCACGAATGACTATATCTTATCATTTTACTCGTTAAATCGTGCATAAATACCGCCGAAACCGTTACCCTTATAAACACGAGGCTGGATGCACCGCAAATAAATATATTTCTCTACCGAAGAACTTTGGCTATGGCCACTACTACTGTAAATAAGCTATACTTCTTTCAGAAACGTGCGATAAGTAAGTTTATTTCTCACGATGAGTAAATTTAAAGTTAAGCAACCGACAAATTTAACGTTAAACACCGCCAAAAGTTTCACGCGAGAATTTTAATTCTCGCTACTGTAAAGATGTTAAGAATTCACGAATTTATAAAATAAATGATTGAAGTTTATTCTTGTTAACATAAGAAGTTTAAATACATATTTGTAAAAAAAAGTATTGAATTTAGATTTAGAAAACACTTACAAGGAAATGCTTAAGTTTATTTTTCATACACAATCATTGAAGGTTTAGAAAACCTAGCCTTAATAAGCATTTTGGTACAATTTAAAATTACAATATTTTGTATGAATTATTTAATGAAAAGTGTTAAATTGTTAATGGGCTTAATGTTTTAATTTTCAAGCAAGTTTCTGTTCAATCCCGATATTATACTTTAAGAAAATGATCGATGCATCAGTTAAGCTTGTGTATGCACACTTACATTACGAAAGATTGTGACCACATGCACCTGACAGAATAAGCTCGATTGCGAAACAAGTCCTTGCAACTTATATTAATGACTTTCGAGTTCGCTTCCTGGAACCAACCAGTACTGGTGTCATATGAAGATACATGGTCGTGACCCAATTAGGGCTCGAACCCATGATCCCTGGGTTGAGAGGCAGACACTTTAACCACTAGGCCACCACTCCCCTTTATAGTTATTATACCCCAAGTAAACGTTTTACTATATAAAGTAATGTGCCGTCACATGGTGTTATTTCCATCTTCCTTCCATGAAATGAATATCACCCGGTCAATATCTTTTGAATTATTCCCCCGGGGCAAGTAATCTATAAGCACTTAGAAACGTAATGTTCTAGTTCGCTCCCCTGATAAATGTTAATTTAATAATCATGCATAGCGGTGAAAAAATACATTAAATGTTTGTTCGGTATCATAAAAATAACACATGTCTCTCAGGGTAATTGTGAATATTAGCAACCATTGAACTGAAATATCACGCGAGGAGTATTAACTTACAGATAAATATTTATTGTAATTTTATAAGTAAACTATTGAATATTATTGTACGATACAGTATAAAAATTGTGTTTCTTAACAAATGATTCGAGTATATACACTTTTAATCAAGGACTTTTCAAAACGTTAAATTGATACAAAAGAGTATGCAAGGGTATTTCCTAAACGTCTGACGACACAAGATCATCATTAGAAAGCACAATAATATGCACATTCGGTGTGTTAAATGATTTAAAATGTACTTGAGAAACTGCTGGTTTAAAGTTTTCATCTTTTTCCCTGGATGACTTTGTTTTTTCAAGCTCAATTGTTGACTTTTCAGGAACAATGTTGCTCTTCGAACAATCGTTGGTGTCATCCAATAAAATGTTTGATTTGAAGTTTTCTTCATTTTTCTTAGATAAGTTTATCTCTCCACTTTCACTTGTTGTCTTTTTAGGAACAATATTGCTCTTCCTCTTCGAACAATCGTTGGTACCAGCCAAATAAGTGTCTGGTTTGAAGTCTGGTTTGAAGTTATCATCTTTATTCTTAGATGAGTTTGTTTCTTCAAGCTCATCTGTGGACTTTTCAGGAAGAATATTTCTCTTCAAACAATCCTTGGTGTCATCCAAAACAGTGTCTTTGTCCTGGTGGAGATCGGAAAGCGGCATCTGTTGAGGACATGTCTCAACTGTTGTTTCAGGACTACGTATTGTCAGTTGTGATTGATCTCCCGTTTGTTTCATATCATCTGATTGTGTTTTAGTCTTAAAACAAAAAGAGACATGTTATTATTATGTTATATACATATGATATGTTATACATTGTATATCGGTCAAAAAATCTTGATACCAAAAGTCCGTGATCTGATGCATTTTACTCAGTTTTGACCTGTTGCTGATCTGTCTATATTCAAGTCGCTTCTATCTCGAGTACAACATGACCTAAAGGAAAACGTCAAAAGGTGTTTGAAAGATTTATTTTAAACTTAAAAAACTAAAGTGATAGAATTTAATCATTCTTTTAAGTATGAACGGCGTTAATTTAGCATCATGAAAAAACTGAACGGATGACTTAAGCTTCATGTATAAAAACTGACCATATACAAATTATCATGTTAAAGATAAACAACAAGCAAACCTGATCGAATCTGATTCTATTCATATCCTGAATGGCAACCGTCTTCATGTCTCCTTGGCTTGAAACAAGGTCGCTTTGGGAATCTGTAACAGACTCAAACTTAGAAGATGGGGGAGATCTTGATGACTGCAATGAAGGCAACGACCCATCATATACGGTGTTTGGTCGTATTTTACAGCAACAATTCATTTCTCCTTTTATGCTTATCATTCTTTCAATCCCTTGTGCAACATGATGATAGTGGTTGTTCTTCGTCAAAGCTGATGATAGAATGCGACAAACATCTGACCGATGTTTTTTGCAGTGGAAATTCAGAGAATCAATAACCCCTCGCCACATTTCTCCCTGAACTCCAGTTGGTTTGTCGCTCTGTACGATCCAGTTATACAAACTTGAGTCTATAAGATTATACTTCCACAGCCTATCAGCAATGTATTTGGTATTTACATTGAATGTTAGATTGCAGAGTGCACACTCGGAGCACCTTACTCCGTTTCTTTTATTGTGTTCAAACTTTTCCTGAATACTTCTTGCAACTGGTTCATTTTGAGACTTTATGTGCTTCAAAAACCGTAGAAGGACTTTCAAGTCTCTTCCCTTTATTATACTTGTTAAAACACGAACTTGATTTTTACGATCAAGTGTGTTCCTTAAATCAGCACATTCTTCATCTGTAAGACAACTGTCAGCTAGAAGATCATCTGGTAACTCACTATCTTTGAACACAATACCGTCTATAAGCTCTTCTACATGCCACTGAAGAGCATCAGCAAGACATTTTCTTTCATCCGATTTTGATAAAGCATTGCCTTAACAAAAAATAAAGAATATAAATATTATATTTAGCGGTAAACAGTTCTGATCAAGAGAAATAGAATCCCTAAAGACAGCCAAAAACGGCAAAATTGAAAATTTTGCAGGGTCAGTTTGTTTGAGCCTGTTAATGGACAGCATTGGAAATTGCAAATTACTGTCCACGCCCCCTAGCACCGCCTTAAGCAGTATTCAACATTTAAACATGTAATGGTTAAATTTTGAATTTAGAAACATGAACATAAATGTGTTTATACGGCACGTTAGTGCCATTCCATGAAAAGCGGCGGTTGGTCCCCAAGTAAGAAAATGATTGTGCCATAAACCAGAAAACAATAGGCTGAACCAAACAAAATGGATTTTAAAAAGGGGATCTGAGGTTATGAAGCCTGAATATCACAGATAAGCGGTCAAAAGACCAATTTAAAAAGCAGGCCACATATCTGCCATATCGAATCTATTTATACTGCCTTACATTTTCGCGTTTTGCGCTTGTATTCAGAGAAGAAATAAAAGCGATGTTGTAAATGATGTTCTCCAAACTGTAATAATTATTCAAATGATTTTGAAACATTACATTAGCTAGAAGACCATATACATGTATATGAAATATCTTGGATAGATAATATAAGAATTTAAAATTTGACAATACATTATAATGTTCTCTAGGCCGTTTCCAATTGTTTTTAAAAAGTTGTGTTTTTTAAGTTGTTTTTTAATTGTTTTAAAGGTAAGAATACCTCCAGGGAAGTAGGTATCCAGCTAGCTTATAATTACGGAACGTCGATGGTTCTACTGAGATTCCCCTTTGTGGTTGAAATAAAGCACAAAGGGAACATAAGGTCAATCTCCATCAGTAAAGCTGGAAAGTTGCCATATGACCTCTACTGTGTTGATGCGAAAATAAAAACCACCAAAAAATTGAAACTTTACCAATGTAAGTATTCAGCTCGTGTTGTCTGTTAGGATTGGTACGATGTGCTGAGGCAGGCAATGTTTGAGTTCTCATAAAACCTTGTGCCTTTTCCTTTTCTGTGTGCTTATCGTGGTCTAACTGTATATCCGAACCATATTTAATAAGTTTTTCACCATGTTGAAAATGTCTAGAAATATCATGTGATTCTTTAGAATTTGGTTTTGAAGTGAATGATTTAATATCTTTCAGTTTTTCTTCATGGTTTTGATTTTCACTATCGGTAATGCGTTTAACTAATGTATCGTCAAAATCTTCTTGGATTACGTCAGTGTTCTCTTTAACTGTTGCATTTTTACTTTCATTTGTATCAATTTGAATTTCTTCTCCGTCAATCACTTTCTTCTTCTCAGGACACAGACATGTCTGGCAATGACGAGCGTCAGAATTCATCTTATGTTCATTGAAAATATATCTAATCTTCTCCTCCACGATGTCACCAATCTCTGAACGTATTGCTGGTATTACTTGTGTTGCAATTACTTGTGGAATGCTTGAGTTCAACTGGAAATATGAATGAATATTTTTGTATAATAAGGGGAAAATGTTAAAGTTAATATACATAAATGTAAAAAACAATGTACAGTGCGAGAACACTTTACCAGTACAACAGTAACTTATTCCTTGTACATTTTGTACAAACATGACACAATGAGGCAAACGAGAATGAAGAACAATGAGTCTCAGTTAGCAGTAATGTAACATAAGATAACGTTTTACTAACTAACAACTATAATAGTAAAAAAATACAAAAGGATCCTGTAATGAAAAAAAAAGGATTATCATTTCTTGAAAGAAGTAGTAAAGCACAATAAACATAATCTCTCTAAATCACAGAAACCTGTTACCATTCAAGCCTATAGTCTTTGTTCAAACAAACTCTTTGTATAAAATTTGAAATTGATACCCAACAGAAAAAGTTTTACTTGGGGTACATATCATGAATTCGGATCATCCGTCTATTTAGATAAGACTACTTATGTCACGTTTTCGATACGCAATTAGTATAAAATCTTAACGAGCAAGATCGATTTTATTTTTGAAACATACAATTTTATTGAATTTACAATAATGATGTTGAAAAGATAACAGGTTTTTCAATGTTTATTTAGGATCATATGTTCTTATTTTATCGATTTAGATTAAATGGAAACGATATAACATTTCGAATCTAATGCAGCTATTTTATATTTAATTGTAAGTTTGAGTTTTTTTCGCCCTGGCATGTTCGTCATTTATTAAAACTTTGTCATTAATGCACCCATCTATATATTTTCATAGAGAACATACAGCAAAATATCAGTCTTGACTATAGTGCAACGGAGTTAACTTATCGTATTCAATTCAAGATGGAGACATGAAACAATGAATAATTACTTTTTTATTTGGTGAAATAGACATCGACCATGACTGCATTCGAATCAAGTAATTCCCCCTTTTTTAAAGCGATTGTTCTTGTCTGCACTACTACTCTTTTGACATGTAACTACTGTCAGACATTGTAAGAAACGAAGAGCAAAATCTATATAAACGGTTACTTACTAAGTCATCTCTGATATTTTCTTTTCTGTCAAGAATTGGTGATTTGGGAAACACATAGTGGTTGTCAACACGTCTTTCCTGGTAAACCTCTTGACCGATATGTAAATCATGTTTAAAGGCGTATGGCTCCGAAATGTCCAGATTTTGTGTATTAATCTTAGGGCGTAAGTTTTTCTTCCTATCCGTTGTTTTGCTCATGATTTTTATATCATCAATTTATCATAAAAAATTAGATATTTAAAAATCAAATTAAAAACTCGCGAACATTAACACTATTAAACTTCTCTTACATTGGTCTGTAAATATATGCTTCGTGTATCCTGTGCGTTAAAGATAAGACTGAACACGTGAATCGCAAATTGCATGACTAATCTTATAAAATTATTACGCAGTTTAAAGCAAAGATTTTATCATGCTGATGACACGTCTTCACTATATATAGATTAGTGATATATTTATTTGGAATTTCTTGAGTGGCAAACTATCAAAACATCTTTTTTCTTTTCAACTTAAACAAAAAAGGTATCAGATTACCCAAAAGAAAAGATTACACTTTTCGACAATAAGAGGATATGTATTTTGAATACCTCCACACTGAAGTTTAGGGTGTATGTAAGAGTGATCTTGTCGGTCGGTTATTCGGTCACTTCACTTCCCGGACGATTGAGTTTTGAATGAGATATTTTAATTAGACTTGATATAGAGCAAGCTGTGGAGATCCGGGTTAGGTTTGCTTTTGGACCCCCTGTTACAAAAAATAGATTTTTTTTACGAAAACTAGAGTTTAGAATGAGATATTTTAATCAAACTTGGTGTATAGCAAGGTTATGAGGAAACTCCGGGATTGCTTTTGGACCCCATAGGATCAAGGTTTCACTGTTACTAGAAAAACTGTTTCTGAATAATAACTAGATTTAAAAGTGAGATATTGTAATCAAACTTGATATATAGCAAGCATATAAGATACATCG